TGATGTATTTTCGAAGACTGTGTGGTGCATTTATGCATACCTAATGGTGTATGCCGCACTGATCGCACGGGAAGACTTGTTCTCACTGATAAACTAACTATTTTACCAAGCAGGACCTTACTTATCCGTCAATTTTGACTTATTTGACCACTATTAACTATTTGACTTAGTCAAAAAATCTATATAAGTGTTTGATTAATCAATTTTTTATATCTTAAAAATGCTAAAATTCAAAAAGCTACTCAAAATAACTTTTTCAATTAAATTTTTGAGAAAAAATTATACCAAATAACTATCGACTAACAATTCATTTTTCTATAATCAACTAATGTTATCAACTAGTCATACCCTCTAATAGAGATCAACTAACATTTATCTCACATTAACAAATACGGAGAGTATTAGGTATATAATGATTATTATACGCTTTATAAGGCGTTAAAGATGGTTATTTGCGGGCCCCACGCCCCACGGTTCTCCAGCGAGGACTAACGCAGAGAAGAAGGCGAAGAAAAAAACAGGGACTCCACTGCTGAGTGCTGACTAAGACTACTAATACCAACAATACTTACAGACTTAGGAATCTCTCTCCATTTTCTCTCTCTATCTCCCTCTTGTTTGATTCAATTGCCATTTTTTTTTTCTTTTTCTTTTTGTGTAAGACCTGAAAGCAGAGACTCCATAAAGCGAAGCACAGCCAAAAGGAAATCTAATCGGATCGATATCATCGTTGTTGCGGCTACTTTGATCAGGCAAGTGTATATGAATATAGCTTCTTCTGTATGGATGCATCTATCTCACTTATCTGCTGCTGTTTAATGACGTTACTGATTTTGATTGATTTTCTTTGCCGATCTGCGATGAAGATCATCGTCATCCTTTTTTCTTTCCGCTTTCTGGATATCAAATTTCGTTGATTGCTTCTTTCTTTTGGCGCTTAGTCAAACAATTCTATGCAGTGATTAGTGAAATTGTTACTCAGCATATGAATTTTCAATTTCAGCAGCAGAATTATTAATTCTTCAATGATTATAGATAATACTGAAGTTTTCATTTGATCTGCAATTTGATTTTTTATATATGTGTTCGTTTTGTTGAGCATATAATCATTGATATGCAATCAATTATCACCTTAGGTATAAGGTTGTTAGTTGAGATGGACTCCAATTTTTTATTTTTTTTTTTTATTTTTGTGTTTTATCTTTCCAGTAAAGAAGACGTAACGTTTAAGTGTGTGAATTAAAGTCTGCATTAATTTTGGAAGCTATTGGTTGCTCCGTATTTTCATCTAGAATTTTTTTTTTTTTTTTTTGAGTACTAAACTCTATTTATTCATTTTATTTTAGTCCAGACTCTATTTATTTTAGGGTGTGTTTGGTTCGCACATAGGAATCGGAATCGGAATGGGTATCAAATACTTGGTAATGGTAATGGATTTTGGTTAAAGTATTTAACATGTTTGGTAGTAGGGTGGAATGAGAATGATTACTAATAGTAGTGCTTGAGAATGAATAAGGGAATGAAACCCTTATTTTATTTGAGTATGAGTTTTTCAATTGATGTGATATTCGAAACGCATAATAGTGTTCTAAAAATCTATCAACTAAACAACAACAATCACTTTCATACCCATTCCTATGTGCAAAACCCACCAACCAAACACACCCTTAATTCTTCTAAATTCTAATACTCCCTTTGGTGACATTTTATCATATTATCGCAAGGACTTTTTTTTTTTTTTTTTTTTTTAATGAAAAAAGATTAAATCTAAAAAAATAAAATTCAAACATGATAGGTGAGAGATGTCAGGGAAAATACTCATTTCTAGAAATTGATGTCTTTTTTTTGGTCTATGATATTAGTGCTCCCTAGTGTTTCCAGCGGTGCGAATCTTCATCTCTCTCACTCTCTGGGGTCCACAAGAGTTAATTTATGCAAGTTCGGTAAAGGGAAAAAGAATTACTTCCGAAAAAGAAAAGTAAATAGAAGTTAAAAAGTGAGAAAACGGTATTAAGTAAAAATTTTAAAAGTAAGACTAAATTTGATAAATGCACAATAGTTCATGATTAAAAGTGAAATTTATCAAAAAAAAAAATGAAATTTATGGGGTAATTTCAACCAAGATAAATATAGATCTACACTTATACATGTGAATTTTTGCTAACTTAGTTTGAGCAGGGCTCTAAAAAGTTTGTGGGTTTCCTCTTAAAAGTGAAACATCGCTATATTTGTTTTTATTTCAAATGAAGTTTATCTTTCACACAATCACATGTGGCTTACATTTTGAATATTTTTATCTGTATAAATTTGAATGCAATACACACACATCATTTGAGTTAACTGTTTGTTCCGAATATAATGATTTTGACACGTTTAATCATAAATAACTTTTAAATTGATTGGTAATATATATATATATATATATATATATATATATATATATATATATATATATAATTATAGCTTCCGGTGAGGCATCTTTTGTCGAGTCATTGTCTCACTTGTCATCGTACTTATAATGTCGTTTTATGCTTTAATTAGCATATTTGTCAATTGTCATTAAGGTGAATGAGCTGGCCTTCCCACTCCTCACCGCCCTGGAAACCCTTTTTCTAATTACGGGTTCATTATGCTCTCAGTCCGTTTTGCTTTGTTAGCTTTGTTAAAGTACTCACTTTTCCCATTTCTTTATTTCTAGTGTCTGTTTCCTATTAGGAAAATAATATATGGATTTTTAGGAAATAAAAAAATTGTCGACATGTATTGTGGATGAATTAGAACATGTTACATAAATAGAGAGTAAAAAGTTGGAAGTAGGTGCGACTATGGTTATACATTTTGGATATAATTGATTTATAAGTAAGAATAGAAGCAGTAATGTTCAATGAGGTTTTGATATAAATAAGGTAAAAAAAAATCTTATATTTGGATACTTAGAGCAACATCAATAATCTTATATTTGGATACTTAGAGCAACATCAATAGTTCTTAATTTTTCGTGATTTTTGAAGTGCCAATTAGTAAAGAGATTGACAACAAATTGAAAAAAAAAAACTGAAAAAGATTATAGATATGTGCCACACGCAGATATCTGGCTTTGTAACAACTTTTCTCTCCCCTGCTGTGCCCCACAAAAACAAAAAATTGCAGGAGAAAAATCCAACTGAAAAACACTCTCCACTTTTATTAAAAACCAACTCTATAATTTTTTACTGTTTCAAAAATCATAAAAAATCCTTATTGGGGATGCTCTTAGAGTTGTTAACAAAGACACAAAAAATCATGACAAGCATGTGACATGTCTATGAATTGATATTATCATTTTCCAACTCTTGTGAAAATATAACAGTAATAAGAGCATCCACAATGGTTGGGGAGAATTGGGGAAGAATGTAAGAGTGATTAGGAAAGAGAAGATGGGAGGGAAGAGAAAAAAGAAAAAAAAAATTGCAAAACAGAATTAAAAAAAAAAAAAAAGAGAATACTTTATGATTGCCGGGCGCGCCTGATGCGTCCAGTGCACGCACCCGCTGGGCGCGTCAGGCGCATTGGTGACAGCCACGCATGGCTGTCACCACTGGTATTAATTGTGGTAGGTCCTACAAATTCTGAATTCTCCCCAACCTTTGCAAGAGCAACTCAAATTTCTCTCACCTACACTCTCTCTCTTCCATGTAGATAAAGTTTTCTTGTGCACCGTGAAATCTTCTTTGGTGTGGATGCTCTAAGAGCATCCACATCAGTGGATATTATGGAGTTATTGTCAGATGAATTATTTTTGGTGGGGATAATAACAAATGTGGGGTAGGGTTATTTGTGAAAATATTTGTTCTGCAAATTCAAGGATAATGTCAGAAAAAAAGGAAAAAGTAAAATAAAAAACAACACTGGCTGTGCGCAATGTCAGGTTTTTATTATTATTATTTTTTTCAATTTTTGTTTTGTTATTATTTTTTTTTTCTCTCCCCTCCCACATTCTCTTTCCTAATCATTCTTACATTATCTCCCAAATGTCTCCAACTAATGTGGATGCTCTAAGTGTGAGAAATCATTAGTAGACCCAGGTGATACTGCTTTTGATACTGACATATTTTTCCTTTTGGAGGTTCAGATTGCTGGAAAGGTTCATTAGTCAGAAGGCAACATTCATTTTGTAATGGAAGCAGAGATTCAATTAGATCCTGATATACCAATTTCAAAGGTTGCAGAGGACAAAGACAGCAAAGCTGACCCGATTAAGGTGATATATATACTACAGTATAAAATTCAAAGGATCCATTTTGTTAATTGATTCTGTACTTGAGAGTGTTATTTGGGATGACGAGGGAAATTCGCAGCCACTATTCGAGAGAGTGCACTAAGTAAACCTCACTTTCTGACTCTAGCCGGCAAAGGATCCCAATGAGATAAACCAGTTTAGGTCGACTCAAACCAAGAGGGTTGAGATTTGACCTCAGACCTTGTGGTTACAAGTTTGTATCTTTAGCCATCTTGGCTGAGGTTATCCCCAACTTGAATGTGTTATTGATACTGTGAATAATCTAATATCCTATTAAAATGGCCGTGTTCATATCTGTTAATGGATTTTTACTTCATAGGATGCATTTTCTTGAGTAAGAAGTAATTAATGTGGTGAATGTAACCTGAAATGAATGGCATCATTGAATGAAGTGCTTGGAATTTTTAATATTGCAGGTGACAGAGAAGGTAGGAAAGAAAGAAGAAGAAGAAGAAACTGGTTTTGACGGTGAATTCATAAAAGTAGAGAAAGAAACTCTTGAATCAAAGGATGTCGCACATACTGCTACCGAAAATACAGCTTCTCAAAATGTCGTGAGCCTTTCATCTGCAAGCAGGGAGTTTCTGGAATCCCAAGAAAAGGTTAGAGAGCTTGAGGTGGAAATGGAAAGAGTCATGGGATCATTAAAGGATTCTGAATCTCGAAATGATCAGTTGAATGATGAACTCTCACTCACAAAAGAGAAGCTAGGGGAGATTGGAAAAAAGTATGAAGATCTTGAAATTAGTCATAAGAAGTTGCAACAACAGATTGCAGAGGAAGAAGGGAGATATAGTGCCCAGCTCAGTGCCTTGCAGGATGCTATACATGCTGGAGAAGTAAAGCACAAGGAACTTGAAAGTGTCAAGGAAGCATTTGAAAGACTTAGCCTCGAGTTTGACAGCTCAAAAAAGAAGAGAGAAGAGCTTGAGCAGGAGCTGCAAACTTCAGTTGGTGAGTCCCGAAAGTTTGAGGAATTGCACTTGCAAAGTGGTTCACTTGCAGAGTCAGAGACAAAGAGGGCCTCGGAATTCGAGAGGTTGCTTGAGCAGTCAAAATTAAGTGCAAAAGAAATGGAAGACCAGATGGCTTCTTTGCAGGCAGAGCTTAAAGTCCTTTCTGAGAAGACTGCTGAAGGGGAGAGGGCTGAGGAGGCACTCAAGTTGAAGCTGGAGGAGGAAGTTAACACAAAGGAGCAAGTAGAAGCTAAATTAAGAAGTCAAGAAGAACAATTTGCAAAGATGGTTGATGAACTTGGCAAATTATCTAAAGAAAAAGAAGCACTTGAAGATGCTATCTCTGATCTGACCAAAAATGCAGCAGAGATGAAACAATTGTGCAGTGACCTTGAAGCTAAACTTCGGAATTCAGATGAGAACTTTTGCAAAGCTGATACTCTTCTTTCTCAAGCTTTGGCAAATAGCGCAGAGCTTGAGCAGAAGCTAAAAACACTGGAAGAGCTTCAGTATGAGTCTGGACATGCCGCAACTACTGCAAACCAGAAAAGCGTTGAGCTTGAGGACTTGCTGCAAGCTTCCTATGCTGCAGCAGAACATGCCAAAACACAATTGGTAGAGTCTGAATCACGCTTTATTGCAGCAGAACAAAGAAACTTGGAGTTAGAGCAGAAGTTAAATCTGGTTGAACTTAAAAGCAGTGATGCTGAGAGAGAAGTGAGGGAAATGTCAGAGAAAATCTCTGAACTGCATGTCACACTAGAAAAGGTGATGGAAGAAAAGAACCATTTGAATGCTGAAGTTCAAGAATTCCAGGACAAGATTTCTAAAGCTGAATCCGACTCAAAACAAGTTGCGGCATGCAATTCAGAGCTTGAACAGAAGTTGAAGGGTGCTTTGGAGAAATGTGCTGAGTACGAAGATAGGGTCAATATAACAGACCAGCGCAGCCGTGAACTAGAGGATCTGATGCAGATTTCTCATTCCAAAGCAGAGGAAGCCAGTAAGAAGGTGAGTGAGTTGGAGCTATTGCTTGAAACAGAGAAGTATAGGATCCAGGAGCTTGAAGAACAAATAAGTGCATTAGAAAAGAAATGTGAAGATGCAGAAGCGGAATCTAACCAGTACTGTAACAAAGTATCTGAACTAGAAGAAGAACTTAAGGCATTCCAAAGCAAAACATTGAGCTTTGAAACTGCATTGCAATCAGCCACAGAGAAGGAAAAGGAATTGAGTGAATACTTGAATGTGACAACAGAAGATAAGAGAACCTTGGAAGATGCATATAGAAACTCAACGGAAAGGCTTGCGGAATCAGAGAATTTGCTTGAAGTCTTGCGCAATGAATTAAAGATTACTCAACAGCGGCTAGAGAGCATTGAATGTGATCTAATGGCAGCTGGGTTGAGAGAAGGTGAGGTCATGGAAAAGCTCAAGTCTGCTGAGGAGCAGCTAGAGAAACAAGGAAAAGTACTGGAGCAAGCTACAGCAAGAAGTCTAGAACTTGAATCGATGCATGAGACTGTGGCTAGAGATTCTGAGCTGAAACTCAAAGAGGCAGCTGCTAAATTTAGTAGCAGAGACTCAGAGGTGCAATCACTGTATGAGAAGATAAAATCTCTTGAAGATCAGGCGAGGACTTATGAAGAGCAGATAACTGAAGCTACTGAAAGATCGGAAGCTGTTAAACACGAGCTGGAACAGGTTTTACTGAAACTTTCTTTGTCTGAGAACACTGCTGAAGACTTCAAAAACAAAATCTCAGAAACAGAGGATAGAGCTGCAGAGGTTATGTCAGAAAACGAGCTGTTAACTGAGACGAATATTCAACTGAAGAAACGAATTAATGATCTTGAAGAACTGCTGAATTCAGCAAGCACAGATAAGGAAGCTACTATCCAACAACTTGCTTCTCATATCAACACTATCACGGAATTAGCAGATAAGCATGCAAGAGCCTCTGAAATGCAGTTGGCAGCCGAATCCCGCATTTCAGAAACAGAAACAAAGTTGGAAGAAGCTTTCCAAAATGTTTCTAAAAAAGACCTTGAAGCTAAACACTTAATGGAGAAGCTAAACTCTCTTCGGGATCAGGTGAAAGCATATGAAGAACAAGCTCATGATACATCTTCACTAGCTGAAAGTCTCAAAGTGCGTCTGGAGCAGACTCTTACAACTTTGAGAGATCAAGAAGGAACCATGGAAGAACTGAAAAGCAAATCTGTTGATCTTGAAGAAGAGAGAGCCCGCCTACTCGAGGTGAATTCAGAGCTTACTGAAAAACTAGCCTCACACGAACCAAAGGTAATTGATTTAGAAACCAAACTGGCAGCTGCTTTCGTTGAGAGGAATGAAGCAGTTGATGAGCTTCAAGCTTCAAAGACAGTGGTAGCAAATTTGACACAGGACATCAATTCTGAAAGGCAGAAGCTGCAACTCCAGGTTAGCTCTTTAGTTCTCACTACTAAACATCAGTGTGTTTTATTTCCTTCTTAACATGTTTGGGCTTATTTAATCTTAAATTTTATTGTGTTCTAATTGTGTCATCTCATACAGCTATCATCTGCTCTGGAAGAAAACAAACAGCTCCGAGAAATGTATGAATCTTCTGAGAAGAAACTTCAAGGTGTTATAGCGCACCTTGAGGAACAGCTGAATGAGCATGCATCGAGCAAAGATTCTCTGAAATCTCAAGTAGAAGTCCTTACTGCCGATATCTCTCAGAAGTCTGAGCTGCAGAATCTTGTGAAGGAGCTTGAAGAGCAATTAGCAAGTGCAAAAGCTCAATTTAAACAACAGGTAACATAGTTGTTTCTGGACAGTTTAGAATAATACATTTGATACTAGTTCCTAAGGCCACACTACTTGATATAGGAACTCAATTGAATAAAAATTGTAATCTATGGAATATGGAAAACCCTTTGAAACATAAGAAGCTGAGAATATTTTAAAATCCTAAACCATCAAACTGTTCAACCATTAAGTTTGGAGGAAAATTTGTATAAGTTGAAGCCACTTAAGCTTTGAACAAATCCTTTTCCATATAATGATAAGAACTTTGAAGTTTTTATCTATAAGCTCTTGGAGTTTCTTCCATTTGCTCTTAAACATTCTTTAGGAGCTTCTTTATTTTTTGCTTCTGCTACTTGCTACCTTTATAGTTTCATTCTTTTTCTTCTAAGAGTAATTAAAAGTGATGAACGTTGTGCACTTGCGCATGATTAACTAACGCTGTTTTCATAAATATCTTTTGATAAATAATAACATTCCTGCCCTTCAATGCAATTTTTTTTATTGACATTCTTCTTTGGATGTTGTTCAAAACAGAAAGAGTTAGACACTGAAAAGGAGATGGAGCGAGAATCTTCTTTAAAGGAGCTGCAAGCTAAGAAGAATGAAGTCTCACTTCTAGAAAACAAAGTTAAAGAACTTGAACAGAAATTGCAGTTGGGTGATGCTGCTCGCTTAAAAGAAAAGGTATATTTTGTTTCTTCTTTGCATTGCCTTTGCTATATTTGTTTCTCTTTTCCAATAATTTCCTTCGATTTTGTTGAGGAGTGGGGTATGCATGTTGCTATGCAAAAACGTAATAGTTGATGACTGAGGGGGTATCATTATCTGATTGCTTTGCAGGATGTTGGGGGGAGCAGTACTGATCCTAAGCAAGATGTGGAGGTGAAGTCTAGGGATATTGGATCAATGGTCTCCACTCCATCAAAGCGTAAGAGTAAGAAAAAATCTGAAGCATCTGCAACTCAAGCTGCATCAACTGATACTCAAGTTCGATCCACAAATGAGGCTGCTTCGCCCTTCACAGCCCAGTTCATTCTTGGTGTGGCTTTGGTTTCAATAATCATTGGTATAATTCTTGGAAAAAGATATTAGAAGTTCTCCATTCTACATTGAGGTATTCCTTCATCTTCTTGTCTTCCCCTTTTCCTCCATCTTCTAGTTTTGCTGGTTGTGGTTGGCTTTGAAGTATATATATAGCAGTAAGTTGATTGATTCTGGTTTTGGTTTTGAATGAATATTTCTCTAATTCAGAATTTGCTTCGAGTTAATATTAATTTTTAATTTATTGTTTTGAAATACTTCATCTGTGTTGTAATATCACTGTCTCTTGTATCAATCTTGTGTTCATTGCATGCTTGAAATTGTGATCAAAACTATTACGGAGAAGGAGAGAAAAGAGAGAGAACACATGCATACACTTTTCATTAATCACTGATCGTGTATATCTCAATGATCCGTGATAACCATATACAATAATATATATGTCAGAGAAAATGGGATAATGGCCACATAAATAGTTATATTTACAACACTTCCTCTTGGCCATTATCCTACTAAACTTAGTCCGGGAAAAACTTTGCTAGGAAAGCCCCGTGGGAAAAATCTAGTTAGGAAAAGAGAATACATGACATATTTCAAAACATGTGTTATACATGGTTGCCTCATTAAAAACCTTATGCTAAGAAAATCCCGTGGGAAAAAAACTTCACTAAATGAAAAGAGTACAACTATAAACCAATCATAAACCTTCCGTGTATAATTTCCAAGATTTTGTGGTTTGTCTATTTAAATATTTATTTACAACTTTTTCCTTTTGACATTACTATGTCGCACTCAAGTCTCGTTAAAAATCTCACTAGAAAAACCTAATGGGAAAAAACCTGGTGAGAAAAAGAATATATGATGTGTGCTCATGTGTTGCACTAGTTGGCTCATTAAAAAAAATTTAATTAAGAAAATTATATGAAAACTCAATCTTAGGAAAACAAGTACAGCGGTTGGTCCCAATTTCCCTGATTAATTCAAGTAAATGTCATTCCCCCTGAAGATAAAAATCTTCAAAGTCTACTCGTTTTAATATCATAAAAGATAAGTGTAGAAAAGGAATATGCTACAATCTTCAAGATTGTCACTAGAGTGAACATTCTGTATAACATCCTCGTGATTCTTCTGGAGCTCACATGTGTTGCATCTTGACAATATATATGCTTTGTCAAATATTTTAAACATACACATTTATCATTTGCGCAACACAAGCTTTATTGTTCTCATATAGAACAGGAAGGGGTAAAATAAAACATAACTAGTTTGGGACTTGGCATCATGGAGATCAAATAAAATAGCTAGTACCCCAGTAGTCCACTAAAAATATATATTGGTTTCTCGCATAAAGAGGATAAAACACAAAATCTTTTGTAACTTGAAGATACCTTGGGATGAGTTAAACACTATCTCAATATTTCATTGTAGGAGGAGGTGAGGAGCATTAAATGTTGCTAGAAATTTCATCACAGACACAATTTCAGGCTTGATGCGATATAGAACTTCTGGGTCTAAATTGGTGCTCCAGCGACAATGAAGTAATGGATTTTTGGTCCTAAAATATCCTCATTATCCTCTTCGATTCTAAATGGTTCCTTATCTACTACAAGTAATTGGATAACCATTAGTGCGATAATTTAAAGATATTTATCAATATAAAATATCTTCAAGACGTTTGTATAAAAACTCCTTCAAGGAGAAGTTCGATCTTCAAGTCGAGATAATACTTAGATTTTCCCGGTCTTCATTTCAAACTCCGTCTTTAGACATGATCTATTATTATCAACCTCTTTATACATTTCAATCATACATATACAATTAACATATACTGAGATAATAAATAAATAACTATATTAGCAACTTTCTAATAAGCACATATTTATATTTACATGTTCCACTTCAGGAGGAAATTACTCCGTCACTTGCTTACTACTACAAGTTAAGTAAATACTTTGTAATTCAACAAAATATATGTTGCGATTTTCATTTTCTTTCATTTTTGAGAATTATAAATCCATTGGTGTTTCCCAAATAAACATTTGCGTCTAATGATCTATAATTATGCGGTCATGACGTTTATCAATTGCATATCTAAATTTATTATTCTACCATTGATATTAAGTATCGAAACTTAATGCAATTACCGTGGGAGAGTATATTTGATCAAAATCAATCAAGGGTCTTTGCGTGAACCGGGGCTACAAAGCTCGCTTTAGATCAGACCACCTCATTATTCTCGTTTCTCTTTCGTACAAACACTCATTGTAACCTACATGATTAACAATCAATGGTGTACGCGTTATAAAGAGAATATATTCATTTAGCGAGTTGAGCTATGTCTTAATTGCTCCTTTATATTTTGAATAGTCATGACACTTCTGGTGCCTAACTCTGGATCCAGATTATCATATAACGGAGCAATTTGTAAAGGCAATTGTGTTGTCGACAACCATAAGATCTTCATAAATTTCTCCCATATTTATAATAGTTCATGACAATATTTAAGTCAACCAGATTCTAGACATTTTCCAAAGATATTCAGATCTGGTCGTTCCGCTTCCCTATATAAGTATTTGGTATACCTATAAGTTTACTGAGGGGTTTCCACCTTCTGGATGAATGTCTTCAAGACATAATACTCTAACGAACTTTTAAAAGTGACACGATTTCTTTACTAGATTTAGTTTTCTGCGGGTTCTTATCTTTTACACCAATAGTTCTCCTACACTTCGTCAAGGAGTACCTGTAGATATATTTGGTCCAAGATGGGGAAGGTATATGGGACCTTGTCACTCTTTTATGATCAGCCTGATCAATGGATATATTTGATAGATTACTTGCTAAAATTACAAATTGATTATCTTTTGAACTTCTAGTTCAGTTTAACTAATACGTGGATTTAAATAATGAAGATATTTTCATTTTATGAAATTTCTCGACATTCCATTAAATTAGGACTATTATCTTTTCCTAATGCCGAGAAACGATCTTCATTAAGTATGTAGTCAGCGTACCTAGCCCTTTGAGGTACTTTAGGGTGGTGACATATGAAAATAGACTACACACTAAAAATAATGGCGCAGATAGGGAAATGTTTGTCTTAAAACCACATACTAGGTTAAAGGGGGTATAACTGTGATATGCAATGAGTCAGATTTGGGTAAAAATATTAGTATCTAAAATTGGATGTCACCAACAAGAAAACATATAATTTAGGAATTTCTTCTTCACACATGTTTTATACAATATTAATGTGAATAAGGAGCCTACTGTTTGACATATATTTGATGTCCAACAAGGTTTATATCTATAAGGTTTATTTGTTCTTTTATGAGCCTAAGAAACATATTAAATTTGACTTTAATTTGCGAAAGATATAAACTAAGATATCCAGGGGAACGGAACACATGTGATACAACAATTAGAACTACACATTTATCTTCCCTATTTTAGCAACCAAATTCATTTGGATCATGCATATACATTATAAATATGGGGAAGCATTTATGATACATACATAACCGGGCATGACAAGATATATTCCATTAATCTATAGATTTGAGAAGAATATAAGAAAAGTACCGTTCACCTCATCAAATATAATGCGCGCATGTTCCTCCCAACTCAGTAGTTGGCAGAAGGATCAAATTGACCAATGTACTAACATTGATTGTTCATCTAGCACAATGGATTAAAATATGGTCCATCTATGCCATTATACTCTCAATTATTTTTTTCATCTAGCATTTTTAGTAAGTTTCTAACAAGTAACCCATCTAATTTGCTTATATGGAAAAATAAAATAAAAACAAAATGCTGACATGTTACTTTTTTCATCTAACTTGTTGTTTTTGTCAATTTTTTCGGCAGAAAAATTTAATTTAATTTTTTACGAATTTCCAGATTATGTTGACAAACAGTGAATCTATTTTTCCTGTCGACTGTGAAATAAGTATGTTACCGCTTTTGTGGTTTTTGAACCCATTTATTGGTATTGACATTGGCATTGGTTTTTACTTTGGTTTTGGATGGTGCGATTATGAGACTCTTCGGTACACACGTGAGATTGAGGAGTTTGGAAAAAAGCTGGTTAATAGACTAAGGGACAACGATGATCTGTATATTGCTATTCATTTGAGGTATAATAACTAACATGACTTTTGATTTAATGTTTGAGGTGTAACTTAATTAACTAACTTCCTTTGAGTGTAGATACGAAAAGAACATGCTCGCGTTTACTGGTTTCAGCTACAATCTGACTGAAGTAGCAGCTAAGGAACTTCGCGTTATGAGGTATAAGATGTGCAATACTAGAAAGAGAAAAATATATACAACGAAGTGTTAATAATGTTATTATTTCCTATTGTATTTGTTAATATTATTGTAACACCCCCGATTTTCATGCCATTTTAAACTTAAATATGCAAGATAATCTAATCCACAAACATAAGTTAAACATAGCGGAAGTCTATTTATATAAAGCCAGAAAACGGAGAGTGTTATGCCACGTCCACACTAAAATGAATGCACAAGCAACAACATCATCAACATCAATCTAAGAAGTCTATCAAAAGAGGCACACAGGCCCAAAACAAAACTAAAAGAGTCTGGGAGACTAAACTAGTCATCTCTATATCGCGCTAGCCACTACTTGGGACCTGAAAAACACATAAATAAATGGGACGACGCCCGGTCAGCGAATAATGCTGGTAACCCATCAATACGCGTTAAGTATCATACATAGATAGTATATATACAAAATTGTTTTCGAAACAGAATACTATATATACAAGTTCAAAGTCAAAGATAGAAGTCAACCATAAAGACTCTATAACACTCTCAACAAGGTTAGGGGAAACACATCCCAAGACACGTCAAGGTGAAACAACGTCAACACAAATAAGGCTCAAGGCGTATTCTACCATCACTCAGTAGGATAACATCCGACTTGCTCAACAAGAGAATAAAGAGACACACATTGGCAACACATGCCTTTGTGACAACACATGTCACAAATAGAGAAACACACATCGGCAACACATGCCTTCGTGACAACACATGTCACAAATAGAATATTCCTTCCTTATGCCCGGTTCCAACCTTCTAGCTACCCCCAACCTTATAGCTAGTTCCAACCATTACCTCTAGGACCGTTGTACAGCCAAGTCCAACCTTATCCCTCCGAGGACCGTCGTCCCCATCCGCCGACAACCGCCAACAATTTCCACCAATTCATAGTACACGAGGGTACCGATCACACACTTTGGCAACACATGCCTCCCAAGAAATACGTGAACCCGACACACAGGACACAAACTCCATAATCACGTCATGGCCACCACGAGGACCACTGCCGTACCTTGGTGACTAATGTCTCATTCCATTAATCGTGCAATCCAGGTACAGCCACACACACAACACCATCATAGGAATCAATCAACGGATCACAATGAAGATATGAAACCATACTCAACAAGGAAATGATCACAATCCGACAACAACGATGATCAACACAAGTTATCGTCCACAATAGGAAAGGACAAGCAACACACAATAGCATTTAAACACCGAACTAGCATGCTTATCAAACGGGTAAACTGAACATCGTTCCGAAGAACACACAAGACTCATCATGGTTCAACGAATCACAAGGTTGAACACTTAGCACGATTCAAGACACCAAAACCTACATGGAATCCTACCATATAGTTATAGACATACGAAACATCAAGAAGACACTCAAATAGTTCCACAAAAGAACATCGGGAAGTCAAAACATCGAATACCAAGTCAAAATAAACACGGGGAACAAATCCCTTCACAACACCATCTTGTACCCCGCGGTGGGGCCACGGGTGGACCCCCACCCGTGGTTCCGCCCGCGGGAACCATATCCCACAACAAACGTACCCCGCGGGTGGACTCCTACTCGCCGTTCTGCCCGCGGGTACCATGCCCTGAACAAAATAATCCCTTCGGGGATTTTCAATACCAAGCTCAAATTCAAGTTCAAAACATCCAAAATCTCACCAAATACAACAAAATGAATTGAATAAAAGGAATAGCCAAGCAATGACATACAAGAATCCTAATAACAAGCTCTAGATATGCATTTTCACAAGACAATGCATCAACACTCACATTCCATAGAAAAATCACAAGTAGAATCCAAGAAATCATCATATAGGTAAGTAAAATAGATTTTGTAAAGCATGGGTTACCTCATTCGCTTAACATCCAAAAACAACGCCAACTTAGGCTCAACTCACAAACCCAAGCTATCGAAAACCTGTGAATCAAACCGATCCTTTACCAAGCTTTAATTAAAAGCTAATAAGCTACCTAATTAATTATGCTAAGGGTGAAATTCGAACCTTTGCCACCATTTAACACTTAACACCCTCTTACCACCACACTAAGCTAACCACTTATTAACTTTACTAAACAAAACTAACCTAATACTAAACTAAACAACAAAACAAGGAGAGAAGCTCACCAACTGCCGTCTTCTTCTTCGTCTTCTTCATGATGCCATGTCGCAGGTGGAATCACGGCAAAATTCCCACCCGCGGCTCTGCCCGCTGCTAGGGGTGGGAATAGGCCAGGCCCCTTGTAGGGGCCTACGGCCCGGCCTATTTAAGGCCTACATAGGCCTGACTTGTTTAGTAAAAAGGCCAGGTTTGAACCCATTTTGAAGCCTATTAAACTAAACAGGCCAGGCCTATTTATACCAAGCTCGGCCTTCAGGCCTACAGGCCTAGCCTATTTACACATATATATAATTTATTTGTAATCTTAAGTTAGTATATATTCTATTTTATACCTAATATATTTTTATATTTACAATATAATTCCAAGTATATATAATTATCAAACCCTAACCCTCCACCTCCAAAATTGCATTCTAAATTCTTATTCAACTATAAACATTGTTGTTAATCCTATTATAAGTGTTCTTATTGTTTAATTGTTTTTACTGTTAAATATTTAATGAAGTGTCACGACTTAATTATGTGAGTTGATTGTTAACTAATTATGAGATTATATAAGATGACAATCAATAATACAATTGAATTCGTTCCTACACAAGCTAACAAGCATGTTGAAGTTGTGACTTGTTTTATTTTATTTTATATATGTTTTAATACTATTATGTTTGCATTGTGGCGATATACTTATGTAGTTATATATTAATTTTTTATTAACTAGGTATATTTCTTAAATTATTTAGAAATACTTATTAAAGTTTTCAAAACAAACTTAATATATAGATTTTAAATAGGCTCAAAGCAGAGCTTACTTTGAAGCATTTTTAATGGCCTACATATTAAACAGGCTTTTAAAAAGGCTTCCAGCGAGGCCAAGCTAATTGTAGGCTCAGGCTTGAGCCTAACAAAAAGCCTACATACAGGCTCAGGCCCAGGCCCAGGCCTTAGATTTTCGTAACAGGCCCAGACCTAATTTTCAAAAGCTCGGCTCAGCTCGGCCTATTTCCACCCCTACCCGCTGCCACCAAGCCACGATTTCACCGGAGAAGCTGCCACGCTGGGAACGGAGGAGAGACGCCATCACCGAGCTCCGTCGATACCGCCGTTGCCACGCACCACCACTGCCACGAGCCTCCGACCACTGCCGCTACTTCGCTTCTTCATTGTCGACTTCTTGTATCGCCGAAAACAGAGGGGAGACACCGGAGAAGGCTAAAGCCGACGCCACTGCCACGCGGAGAACTCCACTGACGCAACGTCCACTTGCTTCACCGAGCTCATCGCCACAAACTTAGACTTGCTGGTTCACCACATGCCACAACCTCCTTGTATCATCTACGTCGCTGACGAGGAAGGAAGAGCGAACGATAGGGGACTGCTCTGTTCGACGTTCTGCCCACCAGAGGGAAGGGAAGGGAGGGGAGCTGCTAGCTTGGTTGCTTCCCGTCACTGCTGCCCAAACTGTCACGGTTGCTAGGTGTCGTTTCCACGGTCACACCGCTGTTTATTGCTACAAGCGTTACACGACACAACTGCCGGCACAAGCTCACGTGGCAGTTTCCGGTGACGATGTGACAGCGAGTACGACGGGCAGTTGGTTTCCGGATACGGGGGCCACGGCTCATGCAACGCCTGATGCCACCATGCTTACTCAGTCCGACGAATACAACGGTGGTGATGTGCTTCGATTTGGTAACGGCGTAGGTTTGGTTATTCCACGAGTTGGTCATGCATCTATTCCTTCCGTGTCAAAGTCATTATATCTGTCTAATGTGTTTCATGTTCCAAATTTGTCCGTACCACTCTTAGTTGTTCATAGATTTACTAATGAAAACAATGTTTTCTTTGAATTTCACAAAAATTATTTTATTGTGAAGGATTCTACAACCAGGGCGGTACTGCTTAAGGGCCCTACCTCGGGTGGCTTATACAGACTTCCAGTGTCTCAATCTCATTTCGCGTTTGTCAGTTCCCGTACCTCTCCCGTGGTGTGGCATCGCAGACTGGGCTACCCGCACGGTCATGTCCTAAATCGAGTCTTGCAAAATTGCCCGGTTGATCAAAATAAATCCAAGTCCTTGGGGTCGTGCACAACTTGCCAACTTGACAAATCTTCACATTTTCAATTAGATAGGGTCGAATATTTTAGTAATTGTGTTTTGGACTTATTGTATACCTATATTTGGGACCCCGCCCCTGTAATTTATGCTAGTGGTTTTCGTTACTTTCTATTATTTGTAGAAGACTATTCACGGTTTTGTTGGTTTTATTCCTTACGGGTAAAATCAGATATATATAAAATATTCAAGTCGTTCGTGTGATGGTAGAACGCCAGTTTTCGTGTTCTATCAAGTCCATACAATCAGATTTAGGGGGTGAATACCGCAAATTACATAATATATTCCAATCACTTGGCATTAATCACAGGCAATCTTGTGCTTACACACACGAACAAAACGACAGTGTTGAGCGCCGGAATAGACATATTGTTGAAACCGGGTTAGCTCTTATTGCCGAAGGCTCAGTACCTCTTCAATACTGGGACTATGCCTTTGAAACAGCCACATGCCTAATCAATTATCTACCCTTGTTTGTGTTACAGTTCGAAAGCCCATATTCACGTCTACATAAAGCGTCACCACCATACACGTTCCTACGAGTCTTCAGGTGTCGGTGTTACCCCTATCTTCGGCCATATAATCGGCACAAGATAGAGTATCACTCAGCCCCCTGTGTCTTCCTAGGTTACCCTCCGTCCTTTACGGGATATAGGTGCATGGATCTAAAGAATGGAAAAATCTATATCTACCGCCATGTCCAGTTTGACGAATCTGCTTTTCCTTTTTCTACAGACCAGATATTTCAAGATAAATCGTCACCGGTGTCTGCTACCGCGCCATGGGCGGCTGGGACCATAGTGCCACGATTCACACAATCCGATGCAATTACATCGCTGGCTCCTAATCCAGCACCCTTGGGTTCGGAACCAACACCGTTAGCTCAAGACCCCGCACCCTTGGCTATTGAAGGTCCTGCACCGGCCACGAACAGAACACGGACCGCCCGTGGTCAACCACATGAAAGTGGACATGTCATGCGCCTTCGTCACATGACCCGAGGCACAAACGAGCACTTCCATGCCTTAAGTGCAACTACTAATCAGACTTGCTACTCACAAGCTGTAGGGCATCCACAGTGGCGTGATGCCATGGACCAGGAGTTCAATGCACTACTGCACAACAACACTAGGCGTCTCGTTCCACCTGAACCTCATATGAATATAATTGGGTGCAAATGGGTGTTTCGCACCAAGCGCACCGCAAATGGTTCGGTAGAGCGTTATAAAGCACGACTCATTGCAAAGGGTTTCAACCGGTAGTAGGGGAAGATTTCTTTGACACTTTTAGTCCGGTCGTCAAACCGACTACGGTACAGATGCTATTTTCCCTTGCCGTGTCAAATGGTTAGACTCTTCGCCAGCTAGATGTCCACAATGCCTTTCTCAACGGGCACTTAACAGAAACATTGTATATGAAACAACCACTGGGGTATGAAGACCCGACACATCCTGGTCATGTGTGTCATCTCCAGCGCTCCATGTATGGTCTCAAGCAAGCCCCTCGTGCTTGGTTCAAGAGGGTACATGATTTTTTACTTTTTGCAGGTTTTTTCCCGTCCAAAACGGATGTCTCACTGTTTCACTACACCTCTGGCTCCTCACGGGTGTTCTTGATGGTCTATATCGATGACATCATTATGTTGGGAAATGATGCCACGTTGGTTAACACTCTCCTACGTCGCATATCCACAGCTTTCAAGATCCGAGACCTTGGCACACCGAGGGTTCTTTCTTGGCATTGAGACAATCGCGGTTGATGGTGGTTTAGTGCTCTCACAGCGCTGCTACATGACTGACATACTTAGCCGGTCCGGAATGGTGGATTGTAAGCCGCTAGCGACTCCAGCTGCTGTCACACAAGTTGTTACTCCTTCAGTACAACCGTATGGAAATCCAAAACACATTATCGCCGCATAGTGGGCGCCCTGCAATATTCAACTATCACTCAGCCAGACCTCTCATATGCTGTCAACCGTTTGTGTCAGTTTATGCACTCTCCCACTAACGACCACTGGGGCCTACTGAAGTGGGTGTTGCGATACGTCAAAGGCACTCTCGACTATGGTTTACGCCTCTCGGCTTCTTCCTCCTCCGCTATTCATGCATTTTCAGAATCAGATTGGACCGGTTGTCCGATAGACAGGAAGAGTACTACTGAATACGCTATCTTTTTGGGTTCCAACCTCATCTCTTGGCTCTCACGGAAGCAGCGCACCGTTGCTCGCTCATCCACTGAAGCTGAGTATAAAGCACTGGTAGATGTCTCGGCAGAAGTAACATGGGTTGTCTCGTTACTGCGAGAACTTGATTTACACTCCGGTTAACCATAGACTCTTTGGTGCGACAATTTAGGAGCCACGTATCTTTGCGCCAATCCGGTTTTTCACGCTAGGACTAAACATGTTGAAATCGACTATCACTTCGTTCGGGACAAGGTTGCATCCGGGGACTTCGTGGTTAACTTTGTATCTACCAAGGACCAGCTAGCGGATATCTTCACAAAGTCGTTGCTTGGGCTGCGGTTTGCGGCGCTTCGGGACAAGCTCAACGTTGTTGCACATCAACCTTGTGCTTGAGGGGGTGTGTTAATAATGTTATTATTTCATATTGTATTTGTTAATATTATAGTTAATAATTATGTGGTGTTAGATTAGTTGACTAGAGCTAGTCTATTAGATAGGAGAGATTTACGTTTTCTTATTTCATATACTATTGTAATCTCTATTTTTTGTAACTGAATAGAATTATCTCTCTCATCCGAAGAAAGGAGACTGTCATATGTCCCCTAGGAAAGCGGCCATGTTTTTTAAGTCGATGGAGTACCCCTCCACGACAAAAATATATATTTTGCAGGGCAAATTTATAGTAACAACAGCATAGATGCATTCCACTTAGAATACTCATACGTGTTTTCACACTCAACACTCGCAACGGAGGAGTTGGAATCTTTCAAGTCATATAAAAAATCAACATAATCCTAATACGTAATAAAAAAAAAGAATTTTTCTACATAAAAAGTGACAAAAACAGCAAGTTGGATGAAAAAAATAATATGTCAGCATTTTGTTTTTATTTTATTTTTTCATGTAAACAAATTAGATGGGTTACTTGTTAAAAACTTGCTAAAATGCTAGATGAAAAATAATTGAGAATTTAATGGCCTAGATAGATAATATTTTAATTCATAATGCTAGATAAATAATCAATGTTAATACATGAGTCTATTTGACCCTTCTGCCTCGTAGTTTAGAGCAACATTGTATTGTTTTAATCTGAATGTTTTTCGGCCAAGCTAGCAATAAATTAAACCTGTTTGAACCGAGGTCATTGAACTGTGGTCACGCCGCCATATATGCTTTGTAATCATGGATTCAGCATCTACTGGATACACAGAGAATTGCATGACATAAAACTCCCTTAATTCACAAATGCTTAGGGGTTATTCAAGACTAGAACTCATTTAGTATTTATATCACTTTTTTTCCTTGTCATTCTCAATAATTCTATTCTTTCCTATTAAACAATGTAATTTGAATCCACCTTATTCTTTTCTCACCGAATTATAATTCTTTTTCTTCCTAATTCCTTCCTCCCAACCAAACACCTCATAAAGACAATTATTCCCTAAGTTGTTGCACAGAAACCAGAAATAGGAAAATGTGATTTTAAAAAAATATAGAAAACGAAAAGTGTGGAAAATGCGCGCGTGCGCGTGTGCGTGTGTGTGCGTGTGTGTGTATAAATATTTTTTTTAATATGCAAAAATATTAATTATTTCATAATTAAAAATATTACAATAAATAGTTTTGAATGGAGATTTGGATGACTAAGTCCAACGTTTTGCCATCGAAAGGCGCTGACTACTATTCGAGTATAAGAAAATATAATTGTGCATTTGTTACTAATTATACATTTTGGTGTAGTGGTGATCTTGACAATTGGGGTTAGTAGGTGCTGGGAGGGGAAGGCTATGGTGCTGACAACCACATACATTAGTGCGCTTGATTCTAACAACTAGTTTGATGGGGTAAGGACCCCGGCCCAAGAGATGGGGGCCCAAAGAAAATAGAAGTGGGCCAGCATCGAGAGGAGCCCAAAGAGCAGTCAGGTCGAGTCCAGGAGTCGGCCAAGGCCCAAGCCCAGGAAAGGACCCGGCTCGAGGAGCCGTTGAGGGCATTAAAGGGGTTCCTTTAAAAGAGAGCCGTTGAAGCATTGAAGACAGGACCCGGTCGGGCTGTTACAAGCCTAGGAGAGCCGTTGGTCGACCGAGTAATAGCGTCCAACGACTCCATATCTTGATTAGCCTTGAAGTCGGCCATTAAGGGCCTTCAAGTCGGCAGAAGAGGAGCCACTATATAAAGGCTCCTCCATTTTTGTAAAAGGGGGACATTTTTCGGACACCCGGAAGAGGGGAGAATAACAAAGAATTTCCGAGCACTAACATTATCTCTGAGTTAGACATATATATTATTGAGAGGTGTATCCTCCGACCAAAGGTTGTGTTGGACCTCCTTGGGCCCGAAAACCCTAAAACCATCACTGGCGCCGTCCGTGGGGATTTAAACGAAGAGTCACGTGTCCTCTTGAGTGAGGCGAGTCCGAGGAACAACAGTCGAATCAGGAAAACTCCAGACATGGCGGGAAGCGAGGAACAGTCGAGCCGTCACGACAACGGACGGGAGGCCGACCTGAGAAGCCAGCTGAATAGGAGAAATGCTCGGAGCCAAGAAAACGAGACGACACCGCCGCCGACGCCGCAGATAAACCCGCAATTACCTCAGGTGCTGCTCACCCCGGAGCAGTTACGCGTAATCGGGCGCGCCTGCGCCGAAGCGAGCCTAGGAGTGAGAGAACAGTCCATCACTCACCAGCCGCAACGCGAGTTGCAACCGCCTCAGAGGCCCGACAACCGGCAATTGAGCCGACGGGCTGAAAGCCAACCGGTACAATCCGTTCATTCCCGGCTAGGTCCCAGCGTTGGGCGTCGGTCGGCAAGGGAACGATTAAGCCGGAAGGAGCCCAGTCGTGCCCCGTTAGCCGCCCGCGACCGACAAGCTGCACGAGAGAAGAGCCGAACCAAAAGAGCCAGGACTGAGACTCGTCGCGTGGAGCAACCTCCCCGCAACCCCGTCCAACCGGCTGAGTCTGAAGTCGGCGAAAGCACGGAATCCACGGGAAATCGCACCCGGGAGAGGGTCAAAGTGGCTAACCTAGTACAGGAGGTGCGAAATCTGAAAGAACGGATGGAGGGAAAAGCCAAATCCCCAGGACGTACGTTGCTGACCGCCTTACCCTTCTCAGACGAGGTTATGGCTTTTAAGATACCGAGTGACTTCAAGTTCCCGGAACAAGCCACGTTCGATGGAACCGGCGATCCCCGCGAGCATTTGCTGAGCTATCAGGCCAAGATGCAGGTTTTGGGGGTACGAGACCCCCGGTCATGTGTCGTGCTTTCTTACCCACGTTGAAGGGGTCAGCACAAAGGTGGCTGGTGGCGCAGCCCTCAGGGTCGATTCACAACTTTGAAGAGCTGGCAAACCGCTTCATGAGCCATTACGCCGCTAATATTAAGCCACAAAAGGACCTAACTCACTTGGGTGACATCCGTCAAGACGAAGGCGAATCTTTGAAAACCTATCTGGCCCGCTGGCAGAAAGAAATCCAGTCCATAGAAGAGGTCGAGGACCAGACGGCGCTCACCTTCTTCATCGAGTCGCTGCGGTCCGGCCAGCTGTACCGAGACCTGAGGGACAATCGGCCGGCCACCTACGCAGAAGCCATTCATATGGCCAACAAGAGGGCCAATACGGAGCAGGCTATGAAGCACAAGCGACAGCGCGAAGTCGGCGGATCTGCCAGCGAAAAGAGAACGCGAGCGGAAGCCAAAGAAAGGCGCCCGGACGTGGCTCGGCGACCCGAAGTTAGACGGCCGTACGACCGACCAGTGGTCCACGCCTATCGGCCGATTCCCGAGCGTCCGGTACACGAGGTACAAGCGGTTGCCCCGCCTCCGCCTCCGCCGACCGACGATCGCGCGACAAACGAAGAGATGGGTAAGAACGCTAAGTATTGTCGTTATCATAAATCTTATACCCACAGTACGGAGGAGTGCTTCTACCTGAAGAAGATCATGGAGGGCATCATCCAGCGAGGAACCCCGCCTCCTAACCAGTGGAGGCGGAGGCCGGGCAGTCGAGGGGATGAGGAACCCGTCGCCGTTGCCGAAAGCAGTCGAGGCAAACAGCCGGTTCCCGAAGAGGAGTAGGCCCAGTGGTGCCAAAAACCGGTTATCAACATGATAGTCGGCGGGCCGGAAGGTGGCGATTCAGCGAACACCAGAAAAGCTTGGGCTCGGTAGTTGTACGTCGGAACAGTGTACGGGCGTGAGGAGAACTCCAAAAAGGTGTGTCGAGAGCCCATCGTGTTCACCGACAGAGACTTACCAGCCGGAGAAATACTGCATCGAGATGCGTTGGTTATAGCCATGGACGTCAACGGCATCGTCGTTCGGCGAATCCTGGTGGACACCGGGAGCAGCGTCAACGTGTTATATCTAGAAACCTTCACCAAAATGGGGCTGACTCGAGAACAGCTGAACCCCGTCAAAACTCCCCTCGCCGGCTTCACAGGGGACTCGGTGGAGGCGGAAGGGTCGATCACACTCCCAGTGGAGATTGGCACGTACCCGGACGTACAGAAACTCAGCATGAAATTTATTGTGGTAGACCTGGCCTGCTCGCATAACGCGATCCTTGGCCGACCGGGTCTTGAGGATTTAGGAGCCTTGATCTCAATTGAGCATCTCTGCCTGAAATTCCACACACCGAATGGAGTAGGCACGGTACGCTGTGACCGAAAGGTCGCCCGCGACTGCTATTTGCAGGCATGCAGAGGGATGGGCAAACGCGAGATGCAGATCCATGAGATCACTGAGAGGCCCCCGAAGAAGACGATACTACCTCGCCCAGAGCCTGCTGTCGAGTTGGAGGAAGTCGAGATCGACTCTGCATGGCCGGACCGACGGGTCCGAATTGGAGTCGGCCTCTCCGAGACACTGAAAAAAGAAATTGTAAAGGTGCTCCGGGAGCACCAGACGATTTTCGCCTGGGGCCCAGAGGACATGCCTGGCGTCGACCGATCAATCATATCGCACAAACTCGTCGTAGATCCGGAGCACCGACCGGTCGTACAGAAGAAACGATACCTAGCCAACGACCGGAGGGAATTTGTGAAGAAGGAAGTTGGCACGCTACTAGCGGCCGAGCACATCCGCGAGGTTAAGTACCCGGAGTGGTTGGCCAATGTGGTCCTCGTACCCAAGCCC